CATCGTCAAAAGAAAAATTTCTTTACGGCCTGTACAAAGAGGATAGACTAACGAGAGAGAGTGTCCCAGAGTTGAGAGAATGCATAGAAACGACTGGTTGTCTTGAGTTTCATGAGCCACTTACAGTGTTTTGTGGACAACACAGCATACAAGTACCCGAGATCATTTACGTACCTGATTCTGATGAAGGTATGAGCTTATTATTTTATTGCTTTTATTTATTATTTATGTTTTAAAGGTTCTAACGATGGGAATAATAATAGAAGTAAGTTTACTTTATATTCTTCAATGAATGTACGATAGTATTAAGTCTTGCAAGCTGCAGCCCCTCCCTTTTCACTCTTTTGTACTTGAACAGCTACAGCTTGTAATGTAATGTGCTTATTGGAGTACTTATGTGTGGAGAGTATAATGTTAACTGTAATTATTATTAAGAATTGTGGCCATATGTACATGTGAATGTGATTTTAATAAAGATGAATAAAATGATGATGTGACAGAAATTTCTGCATGTATATACAATCACATTTCATTGTTATGACAACTTATACGGGAGTGCATGAGGAAGTGGTGGTATTATTTGCATACTTTAGCAAACAGGACAATTATAATTTTTTATTGTTATCGTAGCATTTACAATTTACTTGTTTAACCTTTTCATTAATAGGGACCAAAGCTACATGTAGGTGCATTGTCTGTACCTGTACCCTAATCACCATTATTCTAATAATGGCTGCCATTGCATTAACATTTCTTTTCCTCTACAAGAACACTCATTCTTCTGATGCTCAGAATATCAGTGTGTACAATGGCTATGTAACCTCTATCTACTACGATCAATTTTATGTCAATGAAGTGAATCTTATTTCCAATAGCTCAGCTACAGCAAATGTCTATGTCATCCCTAAGTCTCAGTTATCATACATTCCTGTGGTGCTTCCTGAAAAGCAAATAGACAAGAGAAATTCTACTTTTTCTCAAAGGTTCGAACTGTATTACGACCGAAGTGAAAACAATCTTATATGTAATACAGTTTGCGAATTGAATTTTAGATTCGAGTTACAGCAAAACGGAGTTGTTTTAGGCTGCCCGGCACAACTTTTTTTGTATGACAACAAAGCAGACTTAAAAATTTTCATAGCAAATGAGCCTTATGGCTCAGTTGGTGACCCTGTTGCTCAAACTGATTGTCTTCCTAAAACAGGTGTAGTGAATAAAACATTCCATCTACCTCCTAACAAACTCTATTACATTGGTTGGTACGTTGCTAAAAATGTGGGCTATACCATCTGGCTATCAGCTAATCTAACAAGAATCAATATTAGTGGACTGAATGAGGACTGCAGTGTTTCCTCACAACACACTACCTGTCCAATAACACATACTAAGTATCCACACAAAAAGGAGAATATATCACTACTTTTTAACACCACAAGTACAACAATGATGGATGTTAATGTAACTCCTGTTTTAGTACAGTGGAATCTCCAACGTCTAACTGGTGTATCTGCTCCTTCTTGCATAGGAGTAGTAGTAATGATGGTAGCTGTCTTTGTTTGGTTCTATTATTGTATGATAAGAACTGTTGCTTGGAATGGATACATTACAATAGCTTAAATTACTTTTTGTTCAAATGTTTACTGTTTTTGTAATTGTTGTATTTCAAATTTTAAAAATGAAGTTTTTTCAAAAAAAAGAATTACTCATAAATTTTTTCATGCAATAGGTACAATTTTACATTTTATTGTCACTATTATCAGTTTACAGTTTTTGCAGTTTTACTCAATGACTACTTCAATATTTTGTTATACGTTTGTCATTGCAATCAGTGACATAAATATATCCATCCTTATCCAGTGCTATACCATATGGGTTAGATACTGAGATTAATTTGACTTGTTTCCTGTCAGGACACAAAGCATTAAGATAAGAGGTGCCATTATTATAAACTGATACAAAGATATATCCTTCATCATCAATAGCAATACCATCAGGATCATTAAAGTTACCAGCTGGATTATTGTATGTATCAAGACGAGTTTTACCATCAGGAGAGAAGACTTGAACATGATGCTGATCATAAATGATAACGTGTATCTTTCCTTCATTATCAACTGCTACATCAGATGCAGCACTATCACACTGTATGACTTGTACAAATGTACCATCTTCTTTAAATACTTGTACTCTTTTGTTGCTGTAATCAGCCACAAATATATTACCTTTACCATCAGTAGACATACCTTCAGGACCAGAGAGTTGTCCATTTCCATTACCTTTACTACCAAACTGACCAATATACTGACCAGTAGTAGCTGAGAAATACTGCACACGATTAAGATTATAATCAGACACATAGAGCCTGTCTCCTACCAGCAATAAACCCCAAGGATATTCAAACTGTCCATTACCATTACCTTTAGATCCAATCCTTCTTACTGCAGTACCATCCTCACTAAATACCTGAACAAACCCATCATCATAACTACTAGCATATACTTCACCATTAGTATGAACAGCAACACCATAAGTACCATTCTCCACATTAAAGGATCTCTGGTTAGTTAGTGTTATATATATACATATGTGTGCATGTATATGATAGGATCCATTATTCTCTAGGATAATCCTGGTGCTAGTTTTGCTGCATTGACTGCTGTCTTTCATCCACCAAATGCCAGTAAAGTTGATATCAGTCTCTATCTATCACCTTCTATTGAGAGGTAACTTACTAGTACTATAATACTTTTAGTGTACTATGATAATACATGTACATAAATTGTACATGTACACTATACATGAAACTAAAATAAAAAAGCTTGTGAAACTAAACAGTATTAATTTAAATTATATATTCTTCTTTTAATGTTTTAGGATATTGGGTAGTGCTGCTAATATTAAGCTTCCTAGTTGGAACAGTGAGGACTCTTACCTCATGGACTATGTCCCTAATGTACACAAAATACTCCAAGAAAAGGTTTGGAGGATAATAATGTAGAAATTATACCAATATAATAAGTACTGTAGCATATTTTAAGCAACTTAAGTTAAATCAAGCGTATTATGAATTTATTATTATATGTATTATGTACTCTTAGTTAATAATTGTGTAGCTGATAATATTTTGGTTCTATTTTAAAGGTTGAAGGTATAGTACAGAACTTTGTAAGGCGTAAGGAGTACATAGCAGCACTGCTGGGTTTAATGGGGCAGTCAGTACTGGAGTATGATACCGAGAGCTACATGAAGATTGCTTTTCTTTTTGAGTCAAATCAAGGGTTTTGCTTCATTGCACACTGTAAGCTATGAACTACATATAAAGTACATGTACAAATGTACATACATTTATGTACATGTGTCATTGTGTGTATAATTGTGTACATAAGTGATGTTATTGTTATTATTTTAGTAAATTTGACCGAAGCTTTTCCCAGTGAAGTCCCCATTCTCTCTCTCTACTCTATCTATCATAAATATGATGGACGACCATTTCAATACATATTGGAGGGTATGCCTTATAGTTCTCATTGGGACGCTGAAGAGAAAGCATGGAGAATGAAGCAAGTCTTTTCTTCTCTCTCTCTGCTATCTTTCTATTTTCTTATGATCTATGTATTTGTGTCACTGTTTTCGTTCAATCTCTCTCCTTCCCAATAGGACCCACATTGCTCAAGTTATTCCAAAGTTTATGGAGATTTGTAGAACATCAGGTGAACTTTTATAGTAACACATTTTTGTGCTAATTATCTTATCACTTCCCACACTACTAATTATTCTTAATTTCTCTAGTAATTCAAAAAATAAAATTTTGTTCACATCACATGCACTAGTTTATTCCTTTTTGCTGCAATCTCTACTGCAGACTGCAGTTGTTGGTGAACTCACGCTATCAATGCTATAGGAAAAAAGATAATGATCACTACATAATTATACTTTGTATATAAACAATGACTCACGTGACAAAGTAGTTGCAAAACATATCCTGAATCACTTGTTTTACAACATATCCAACTTCAGTTTCTCCATTACAAATATTATGAGTAACAGAGATGTTGATGACTGGCTTGAAGTCGCTTGAAAGCGATTTAATATTATATGACTTAACAGAGCCATATAGTGTAGGGATGTGCTCTTTAACAATTATGTTAACATCGGGGGAACCGATGCAATCGAATTCATCTCTCTACAAAGGACTGATATGAGCTTGCTTGTATAGCTACATTACATATACTTTTGATATCTTGGAAGCAAGGTCAGGGAAATTTGTGGTATTAATAATATTCACCCACAAACCTTCTAATTCTTCGTTAAATGTAAGTGTGACATCAATGAAATGTGGAGCAGTATTTGCAGGCTCTGTGGGAACAAAAATTATCAGTTTATATAAACAATGTACAATTGTACACTACTACACTTTTACTTTCAAAGGGTGAGCGGCAAGGAAATAGCTTAATACATCCGTCTTTGAAGCACTTCTTGAGCTCTGCTGCAACACTTTCAATCTCTTCCTTTGGACCACAGAGTTTGAAAGAGCTGAAGCTAAATGTCTCTTCGTGACTCCACTCGATATTCGAGTAGATAGGCACAAGTTTTTTCAACTTGTCACTGATGTCGCCGTCTTTAACCCAAACGTAACTTTCACTAGATTGCTCGCCTTTTGGTGTACCACTACTGCTGCTTCTGCAGTAATGAGGAATCCTGCTGCTCAACAAGAAAGACCTTCGGAGAAATCTATGCATCCTGATACTCCAATCATTTGCGTGGGTTGGTCAAAATGACAAATTTGAGAAGGTGTGGCTAATTATCCGATGATTTTGTTATGACGTCATTAAACAGTGTGGCTGACATGATTCAGCTGATTTCTTAG